AATAAAAATTGGGAAAAAAAAAGATATAATCTTTTCATCAGCTCACACGATTAAATCCGCAAAAAAGAGTGCTTTCTAATATTGCCATCAATATAGCCAAAGCAACTATTGTATTGATATATTTTGAGTTGGTTATATATATGTTATCACTGATGTTTATCAGCCAATTTTGCGGCCATATAGAATTTCCACACTGTAAAATAGCCAAAAAAATTCGTCTAAAGGGCCTAAGAGCAGGGTTAAGTATTGGCGTAGTTGTTCAATACTGTAGCCTTGTTAACTTAGCCGAGAAGACTCCTGGACTTATAAAAATATGGAGTTATTATCTTTTTTACTAGTTTCTACAGTGTGACTTTCATTGCATAATTCTAATTCTCTTATAGCTCGTCGAAATTATTAAAATTTAATACTAGAAGAATTAATGACTGTGGCATAAGTATTTTAAGACTTGTAACATAAGCATTGCTTCACTTATATTTGACAATAATGTAAACGATTGAATTTGATATTATTTTTATAACTTAAACACGTTTTATAATAGCTGCGAATTCAGATCAAAGTTGGTGTGAAAAATGCATAACTCCTCTCAGGATAAGGCTTCCGGACTTTGAAAGAGGGAAAAAGTCTTTTTCTCGGATCCTGAGGTTGTCAGATTTCTTCTACCTTTATAAACATCAGAAAAACATGATGTCATGTTTTTCTGAGACATCAGGAAAGCATGACAGAACACTTCGGGTAATCAGCTCCACGAAATTCCATCTCCACTATTATTCTATATTTTCAGTATATTCGGTGCATTCTACATCTCCCAAGTACCTACAACTTCATCATTACCAGGTTGTTCCTTCTAGTGCTACCTTTTTGTACTCATCCTTCGTTTCCACTGATTCCGTGTTTATTTTGAAGTAGGCGTTACCTCACATCTATGCCCCGCCTACTTACTATTCATCTTGGCCACTCCTTATTTTACCGATCATCATTTTTCCATACTGCAGCTGAGCACTTAGAAGAAACTTTCACGCCATTCTTTTCACTTTTATTTACTTTCTACAGAGAGTTTGCCTGATTGATTTTTGTCTATATTTTTCATTAGAATAAAGTTCTTGATAAGTAAGTGATGACCCGGTGAACATAGTAAATTAATTTTAAAGAGATGCGTTAAATGATTTAGAACTTGATGATCTGCGTCATACACAATGTGATGCTCAAATTGTATGTAATATATCAACCTGCTTGGTAAAGGAAAATATTAAATTATAGTTTTGAACGCACCAAATTTGTTATAATAATAAAATTTCTAATTTTATGTTATTTAAAAAAATATTACTGAACAAAATTAATTATGTTCACCAATAGATCTTAATAGAATCATAAGTAAAATAGAATTACACGAATACAAATCAAACTTGATATGGGAAAAGGGCCGTAAGGCCTCAGACTCGCAGTTCCACTACAACGAACGAACGAACGAAATCAAACTTGACTCAAGATACACATTTAATTTTGAAGAAATGAATATTAGGCGAGGCAAGGTAGGGCACAAACGTAAGCAAACAGAATTCTTTAAAGAAGATATATTTTAAGTGAATTGTTCTTAGGATAAAAAACTTTTTTATCCTAAGAAACAGCAATTATTGCGAAGCTACCATCGGGGTTGGTAAGCGGCAGTGAGCAAGGTACTTATCCCCCTAGCTCTTAACTAAAATTTTAGTTCAAATTTTCCTGCCTGCTTATTCCAGTTTTTGAAGGGGATAGAGTGTTCGCCTTCCAATGAGGTGAACCGGGCTCGAATCTCAGCGATGGCTGGTCGATACGAATTCTGCACTCGGCTCGCACCGACCACAGTGCTGACATAAAATATTCTCAGTAGTAGACGGAATCATGGGTTAGAGTCCCCTTGACGTCACGAAAACTTGGAGAGGTTTTCGTGGTTTTCCTTCCCACGTAACGCAAATGCGGTTTAGTTTCATCAGAAAGTCCTCCACTAAGACAAATTTTCTCGTAATTCTTGATTCAGGTGTTCCCTCGTCTTCTGGTTTGGGCTCAAAATTACAAGGCTACGGAGTTGAACATTCGTAGTCGTAAACCCAAAAAATTGCGTCGTTTGTTCAACGATGGTTTTAAAATATAAAATATTTTTGTGTTCAATGGTTCATTTGCACAAATTAATAAATAGATTTAAAGTTAAACCCTTAAAATATAAGACAGCATCTTAGTATGCGAAAATCCAATGAATATATAAAAAGTTATTCAAGTGTTCTGTTTCTTATAATGCGGACTATATGATATGATAACATATAAATACGTAAAATATATTCTTACATGGCATGGAGAGTTGAATGTTTTGTGTACGCAAATTTGTGCTTTTGCATCAAAAGTACACTTTTCTTTGCTTAGAACTACTTGCTCAGTTTGTTTCAATGCATCAGAAAATCCAGATCCTGTGAATGTTAACACTGTATATAGCAGTCATTTTATAAGTTTAGAATAATTCATGCATCGATGTAAAATTATTATTAAAAAATTAAAACCGAATAAAGAGTGTTTTGAAACTTCTATTTAAAATTATAAAATAAGATTTTTCTGAATTATATAAATGTTTAACAAAATTATGTTTCTTATAACTATCTTACTATACATGATTTTAGAACAAGAAACTAAGTAGCAAAAAATTTGTGTTTAAATTAATTTTCTAATTCAGTGATAAAGGCTATCTAGACAAAACTTGGACATAATATTGAAATTATTAAGCATAACCTTTACTTTTCATTTTAATGCATTTCTAACAAAATATCACGTCTAGTGTATTCTTAAAATTAGCATTGCGTATTATCAAAAAACTCTAAATTAAAATTTTGTCTTTGAATTGGAATTCCATAAAAATCTTGATACCCAACTTTTTATGTATTTTTTTAAGAAGAAAACAATTTTTATTTGCAGCACATTAAAAGAAGTTACTTGTTTCGAAAAGTGTGGTATGTTTTCAACTTTTTATGTATTTTAAGAAGAAAACAATTTTTATTTGCAGCACATTAAAAAAAGTTACTTGTTTCGAAAGTGTGGTAAAAATTTTGAAGCAATATAAATGAACACAACATAGCTATATGCTTTAGAGTTGAATTGAAAATTACACCTATAAGCAAAACTTTCAGTACACAATTTTTTTCTTAAATAAGGGAATCAATACTCACCCAAAAGTTGATCAAGTGTTAAAAATATATGTCCTATTCGTTTAAATTGAACTTATATAGATAACTTTATTAGAATGTCCGTTCTCTAAAAATATTAGGTATTAGGTAATACCTCTGAGACTCGATGGCTCAGGGTATAGAGAGTTCGCCTTCCAATAAGGCGAACAGGGTTCGAATCCCAGTCAATACAAATTCTGCATCCGGCTTGCACCGACCACAGTGCTGACATGAAATATCCACAAAGGTAGATGGATCATGGGTTCGAGTTCCCTTGCCGTTAGGCTAACAGTGGGAAGCTCTCGCGGTCTTCGTCTCTAAGTAATGCAAGTGCGGGTTAGCTCCATCAAAAAGTCCTCCATGAAGGCAAATTTCTCCCAATACTCGATCCAGGAGTTCTCTTGTCTTCTGGATTGGGTTCCAAATTACAAGGCAACGGAGTTGAACATTAGTAGTCGTAAGCCAATGAAATTGGGTCTGCTGTTCAACGACGGTCATGAAAAAAAATAATAATAATAAGCACCTCTGGTTTCTCCCCAGCCAGATGAATAACACACCCATCCTGGTTGAGCCGTCAATCCGAGTGTTGGCAAGCAGGCCGGCTGTATGCCGTCATTGTAGGCAACTGGTGCATTCAGTTTGATTAAGGCTATATCGTGAAGGTGAGTTGACGCTTCCCACAACTAAAAAAGGGGTAAAGAATTAATGAAACTAATCGCTTTACTGCTTTTTTAGACATGTTTTTTAATGTTGAACACAATCTGTTGAAACCTAAGTAGGGTTTCATGTTGAAACCGATTATTGTGCAAGCATTGTGTTTCAACATTTAAACACGCATCTTGAATTGTTAAAATTTGATTAAAATTCAACTTGAATTGTTAATTTATGATGCAACATTCTGATATAATTAATTCGGTATTATGGTTCACACTTTGTATCATAAATGCTTTTGATTTTAAAGTACCGATATTATTATTCAACCTTGATCCGAGTTTGCTCATAATTTATAACAAGACATATAATAAAGTAAAAAGAAATTTTAAAACTATGTTTTTAAACAGAATAAAAACGTAATCACTTTATTACCGGTTATGATAAAAATTTATTTCGAAAGTGGTGCCTCTTAAATTTATTGTTTTATATACTTACATTTATTGCAAACATTGACATTTGTTGTAAACAAAAATTAAATTACTTTCATGCTTCAAGATAATTTTTTAAAAAAAACGTAGCATTTTAAGTTTTTATTTTATTTCATTGTTCTCTTTATTTTAATTTCCTAGTTTGTGCGGTGAAACATGGTCGAAATTTTCATTGGTGATAAAGTTACTTTGTTCCTTAAGTTATGCATATCATTTTCCTCTGTTCAGTATTAAAGAAACTTTGTGCTTTAATAATTACTCACTATTATTCTTTATTTTTATTGTTTAATATTATATCTATTTAATAATTTTATTTAACTTCTTTAATAACAACTCGAATTTTACATATATATTCTATTAATGCTAAATTAAAAATGCAAAATGCTTAAATAAACTTTCATTATATTTTTAACATTTGCTTTAAACTTCATAACCCAGTTTCGTATTCTGGGATATCAAAAATCTATTAAATGAATCTCTTTATTTCTGATAAAGCTTTAATCAACATGCAAACTATAATGTCACAAACAAATTATGAAAAAGTGGAAAATAATATTAAAATAATAAAGAAAATATTAATAAGCTAAGAAATAATCATAAAAATTCCTAAATAAATACCCTTTCACCCTCTAAGTCTGGATAAGCAATAATTTTTACAGCATTTCTAACCACTTCGTATTTTGTTCGACTGTATTTGTTATGACTCCCTAGAACAATTTTCAATTCTTGTGCCTTTGTCTTGCTGAAAATGTATTTGAACAGTAAGTTAATTAATAACAAATTCTTAAAATAATGCTTTAAGGAAATAATACATAAATATTTAATGATTTTATGAACTATATAGAATTGTTAATATAAAATAACTGATTTATCTTATATTTAAGAAGAATCCGTTTGGCTCTTAATTTCTGCGAAAATCATACAGAGATCTCTTACAATTCATCATACACTACATGTACCAATCTTTAAAACCAAACCATAAAACTGAAATAGAAATTTGATATCAATAAAAATTTCATAAATTGTTAAATATGAAACAAATAGTTATTGTCTTAAAATATTTAAATGGCGTTTATTTAACTGACAAATGCACTAAAATCACACATTAAACTCTCTAAGCACATTTTCTCAGATTTCTTTCTTGTTAGATTCAGAAAATCTTTTTTTGTTATGGTTATAATTTTACATTTAATATATAAATCCTGTTAATAATAAATAAGTTTATTTTCACGTTATTTTAAAAGTTCTTTGGTTTTATTCTGTGTTTTATATATTCACACTCTTTTCAAATAAAATAGTTTAAGTTACTTATAATGATAATGCTGTTATTCTGAAACTACATCAAAATTACAAAAATCGCAATATCTCGGATTTGATAAAATCGATATCAGAATCGGTAGTTTCGAGCCCTGGTTTCGATCGATATTAAAACGTCATCAACTGTAGATTTATATTTTTATACTATTTAGGGGTATTCTTCCCTTCGTATGATGTTCAAAAGAGGAAAGAGTCCTTATCATTCGTATTTATTGTTGAATTCTTAGCTACATCATTAAAGTTGAGCGTATTATAAGATTCACATATAACAACTAAATACTAGCTTTCAACCGCAAACTTTTAACAAGACTTTCAACTTTTAACACAAAACTCACCCAGAATTTTATGGGTTTAAGAAGAAAGTTTGATGCAATCATTGAATCATATCATTTACCAATGCAAGGCAGGATTTATGCAGACAAAACTATTTTTAAAAAAATTAAACTAAGTATATACTAATTTTTCACAAGTATTAGCTATTTCTTTCTCTCACTCTATTTGTTTTGTTATAAATAGTGATAGAAATATTTGAATTATTTTACAAGTTACAGAAAGTATGCTGTATTCCTCGATTAAAAATTGACTTTAAAAAATATGCAGATACAAAAAGTGGACAAGTTTCAAGGGCTCGGAAATAGGTACCCACTCTCAAGACCAGATGTGAAGGAGAAGAACCAGAAGTGATTTGAAATATGGAACGTATAGTTGCCAACGAAAAATGGAAAATATAGGATGAAAAAACGACAAGAAAAAGAATTGTGGCGGAAAGAGGTGAATCATGGTAGAATGGATTTTCCTACGCTACAGAAAGATGGTGAGGAATTAATGTCGTTAAGAAGGAAATCAGCACACATATGAATAAAAAGAGCATCAAGGCTGGCACAAGGAATAAAAAGACCTCATATGACTGGGGAGGAAATAATTTTGGCAATGTCGAAATTGAATTATCTCCAAGATTCCAACGTTGTACAACATCTGATGCTTTATCGTATTCTTGATAAGGGGCATATCTATCGTCTTCCTTAAGTCAAAATTTTAAAGCGGGTCTGGTTAGTCCGACAGGTATCTATTTTTGAGCGTTTGAAACATGTCAACTTTTATTTTTATTAAAATATTTTTGGAGCCAATGAAGTTTTTAATCACAGTGTTATTCCATGTTCTTTTTTCATCCTTACTTTTGTTTCAATCTCGACGACTACTGTTTTTCTAGTTTTGTTTCTCATCTTTATTTTCCATTCTTTTCTGGCGCTTTATATTGAAATCACTTTCGTTTCTTCTCATTCATGTCTGGCTAGTCTTGAGAATGGGTGTCTATTTTTGAGCACTTGAAACATGTTGAACCTCATTCCCATCTGCATATTTTTGAAGCAAATGAAATTTTTAATCAAGTAATGTCTTAACGCTTCAGTTTCTTGAAATCATTTAGTTACAATAGACTGTATATTGTTCACGCTCCTTAAATTTTACATTTTGCAATATATATTCTACGAAATACAAGGTATCCAGATATTTCCTGCTTGAAGATAATTTTTTTTGCTTTCCAAATACAAAAATATTTTCTCTGAAAAATCCACACTTCGAAAATACCTAATTATATTCTATTTTACCGTGAATTAAAATTCCCAACAATTAATTTCGAAGCTGTTGTAACTAATTCTGAATTTCCGAAACTTTTATGCACGTTATGTGCATTAAGAAATGCAAATTAAAAATGTATATCAGCTGGGATAGACCACCCTTACAAAAAATAAGTAATTTTAAGGTTGATAGATGTAAAAAAAATATTCCTGAGGTTGAAAAGGTGGTTTTGTTTTACACCCAAAGTAACATCATTAATAAAATGTATCTCAACCTCATTTACACCTCACAAAATCAACCTAATATATAATTCAGAAATAATTTTAGTTTATATCGGGGGAAATTATTCACACTTCAAATATACGTATTTGCTTTAAGTGTAGAAAAAACAATTAGTACACCTCAAAAACAACCTCTCAAAGCTGGTTGCTCTAAAGTAGATTTCCATCAACCTCAAAACAACTTCAAGTGTGAATAAAGCAACTTCATACACCCTAATTATAAACCTCGGGAGGTTGATCTTTTAAAGTTGTTTTTGAAATCAACTTCAAATAAACATCAAATCAACTTGATGTTTATTTGAAGTTGGCTTATATGAGGTTCTTTGGAGGAACTTTAACACCTAAAAAAGACCTCATATAAACCTCAAAAAACCTTAAATTTTTGTAAGAGCAGGATTCCATCAGCTGTGAGTCACATGTCTTATCCATCCGGTCACCAATACGTTCTCTACCAGTTTTAATGTTAATGTTAATAAAACGATAAAACTTTGAAAGCTTATATCTTGATCCAGAGAATGCACTGTAGAGAAATTTTTATCACATCGTGTGTTTTAACATGCTCTCTAATTTGAGCTTAGTTTCGCTTCAATAGGGATTTTAAAGATGCATAATACTGCCTTTGTTAGTCATCAGAGCGTCTGTACATTTCAGAAAGAACTTACGATCTGACACAATGAGCGGCAGTGACTACCCACTGCGGACTTATGAGAGAACCACCGCAATAATGAGCGTTAGGCTCCTTCCCGGTATGTTGCAGAGACACCTGCCAAGGCCAGCTGTTAGGTATGGCTTCAATGCCTCCTACCTGACGATCAAGTGAAATATGCATGGTCTTAGGTTGTATAGGAGTTGCACCACATTTGTCAGAAGGCAAGGCGATAGGTTTACCTAACACACAAACATAATTTTCAATTAATCATCAGTATTTAAATAATCATCAATATGCAGACCTACACATAACTAGATAAAAATTAGCTTGTTGGTGTTTAATGTGGTTGAAAATTGGATCGCATTTGGCGATCTTTCTTTAAAAAGAGAAAAAAATTGTTAAAACTTTGTTTTTATTTTGCTTCTACTGGAATCTGAAGCAGCCCCTCTTTGAAAAATGTATACCCTTTTATGTATTTTGAAGGTAGAAGACAAATAAATTAATAAATCCATGTATTTTAAGCCATAATGAAGTATTTGTCGTTTACGAAACAGGGTCAAGATTTGAATACTGTAGGAGAGTTTTTCTTTTGCTTTATTTATTTATTTACTTATTTTAGCTGTGCATAATACAATGCAAATTTAAAAACAGATCAATATTGTCTTACCATGCTAACATCATAGTATAGAGATGCTCTGACAACATGCTTTAAGGTTTACAGAGGTAATCAGAATCAAATTGACAAAGCACCGATTTGTTGACATGTGTAGTTTTCGGTGTGCCTTAAAAATTGTCTGATTATTACTTAAACCAATAATGCTAAATTAACTAATGAAAATGTATCTATTAGGCACCTTTTGCAAAAATACAGTAGAACCAGTTACCCCTATCAATTAAGCATCACTGGCGTAATTTAGTATTTTTTTAACAGTTTCCAAGAAACAGAATAGTACCAAAATAATTGTTAAGACACGTAGGTGTGTGATGCCTTTATGGCTCATCCTATCGGTAAAAAAAATTATCACCTGGTCAAAGAAGAGGTCTGCAAAGCTTTACCTGAATATCTTTCAGGTAAATAAATACTACAGTATACATAAATAGTTCAAGGATTTTCGTTCCATATTTGTCTGGCAAAAGGCAAAACTCTAACTTAGTGAATGTATGGATCGATTTAAACAAATACCCTGTTTTTGAACCAGCGCTAGTATTTAAGAGGGATTTCGTGAATTTTTCCCTTCAAACAAGATAACTTTTTTAATTTAAAAGAACTTCTTTTCGTCATTTTCTAAAAATGACCTAAAATAAGCAGTGTATAAAAATTTTTTATACAGCTTTAAAATAAGCAATATATCACTCTCGTTTGAAGGAAAAAATCCACAAAACAAGTACACATATAAGTGCTGACGTTTAACATGAATTCTAAGGCAAATATGGAAATTATATTATTAAAAAGAACTTTTTCTACCTCAAATCTTAAAATAGTTTGAATAGTAATTTTAAATTAACGATAAGTGTCTGTTTTATGACATGTACTCAAATAATATTAGATGATTATTTTTATTAACAATTTATTTATTTCTACTATTTATTTGTTTACTTCGTTTAAAACAAACTGAGTCAGTTACCACATTTTTCTTCATCTGTTCCATCCCCACAATCGTCTATACCATCACACTTTTTCTCGATACGATAACATCTACGATTTTTGCATGTACTCTCATTTTCTGCACACAACTCTAAAAAAAGTACATATTTTTTTTGATAAATCAATGCTTTCACAAAAGTTATAATTAGAAATACAATAATTTTTGTCCTTCTAATTTGAAGAAATAATTTGTTAGCAGAGGATTTTTAAAATAATCCGAGAATGTTGCAATTAAATTTGCAAAATGATATGTGTAAAATAAATACTACTTACAAAAAAAATTCTTTTTTCTTTTGAACTCCAGTGATATAGTATCTACCGAAATCTAGATCCAAACTGATAGTTATTGATTACTAAAAAGTGTAATGTGAGTATTGCGGAATTTAAATTTCAAGATATTGTACTAAAACAATACTTTTATGAGAAACATATGCAATATACTAAATGCATTATTTTTACACGAATGCGGTTGTAGTATTAGTAATGGGAAAATGTTATTATACATTTATGTGAGTAGCATTAATCGAGTGCCTATAGACTTCAAAATTGAATTTAAAATCAATTGATAACATTTTAAAACATCTTCACTATAATACTATACCAGGCATTAATCAAAAATCTAGAATACTTTGAACACTTTTTTCTTTTACCAATTCCAGATAGGTCAGCAGTAGAACGCTAAATTAACACGCTTATGAAATATTCCAAGATTTTCCTATCAAGAAAGGTATATTTCCTACAAGGTATATCCTAGATATAAATACCAGAAAAATGTTTGAAATTTTGTGTCGAATCGAACTATAATGCCGTTTAAATTTGGTGCCGTCATAATACGCTGTCGAATTTAACAATATAATCGTACAGTACAAGCTTAAGCTAATAATAATTCTATAAATTGATTGCATGATAGTATAGTTCAACCTGAAAGAGAACATATCTAGTTAACATTATATAGTTGCGGCAAATTTGTACGAATAGAATATTCCTGAATAAATTATCAATGTAATGGTTCAACTTTTGGAATGTGAAACTTTTCTGAAAGTGAAGTAGCAGTTCTGATTGATTAGTTTCCCGTTGTGAGTGTGAGCTGGTTTGGATGTCTTCAAAGAGTTGGTTTAAATTTCAGAAAGAAGATGGTTACATTAATGCTATTGCGAGAAAAAGTTTTGATATGAAATTTTCCTAACGACTGTGTTAATTTTACTGATGAATGGTTAAATACTATTTGCTGGAAATATTATATGCATAAATTCTAGTGCTTCTAGTTAACTTTTGTGTTGAAAAAAACATTCTGGACAGTCACTTATACAACATACGATATTCGACCAGCGTTTTTCTCGTAGTTCTTCGGAGTTTTGTGGACAAATGTCTTCTACTGCCGAAAACCTTATCCAAGTCCCTATCATTGCAAAAAGAAAGTAATTTGTTACTAGTTGGATATTTTTGGTTATCATAGGTAGTCACTTTGAGAATTTGCCGACCTCGCTGTCTCAACGATGTTCATTAAGTCATCACCCTACTAGTTTATTTTTAATCTCATTACCATACTTAATTTTTCTCTGTCTCTCTTACTGTTCTAAAGAATCCGTACCCTGCAGTGCACTTGTCCTAGATTTGCTCAAACAGCTCTGTCAAGACTTAGGACCGGCCATATAAAGTGTTTGACCTTCAGAGCGGAAGAAAAGACTAGGCATATTGTCATTGCTCGGCCATCGCTTCTCCATCTCATCTTTGGGATTGCATTGGTGCCTCTGTGATGAGTGATGGAGAGACTGTCTATGACTTGCTGATGCGACATGATCTTCTGGACTTGGTCTAGGGCTCTAGACCAAGGGGGTAAGCAACAACAACAAAAACAGAATCTATAGACTACTTACGCAGAAGTGGGGCAGATTCATACTGTATTCGGAATCCTCTTCCAGATCCTATATCATCGGAGGCAAAATGAATCCTCATCTCACTCTCTCCAGGATTTGACAGGATAGGTTGAGGAAGTTGTTTACCACAGTACACTCCTAGGGTGCTCTGTTTGTCTTTTCCGTAAACTGTCAATTTATGAAAATTACAACTGCCGGTTGGATAAATATCCATGTCTTTGAAAGTCAACTTTATCATCTGCACATCGAAAAAAAAGAAAGAAATAAGTTTAGTCATAAATTATTTATACATATCTGAAACAAACGGATAAAAGCACGTGTATTTTCACTACATAGTTTTGAAAGCCAATTCTGGTAATTATTGCAATCTTGTAGCATTGCTCTTAATACTTACCGAGGTGATTTTCAAAATTGAAGTTCAACTTATTGCTTACATAGTTGCATGTGTTTGTGTTTGGAATAGAAGTTAAATTGAATTTTTATAATGAAATGAATGAACTGAATTGCATTGATTGAATTGAAAGACGTGAGTAGTTAAATCTTTATGTCATTTTTCGTCAGTTCACATGATGTTGTAGAAATGCAACAGACTATTATTTTTTCAATGATTTTTTAATTTAAGAGTGTATGTTTTTATTATTATTTTTTATGTGCTTAAAATGATTTATTCTAACACATTAGCGTTTTTTTTAAATCTGAGGGGTTGAGACAAAAAGGGTTAAGTTGAATTAATAATTTTTTTCGTTATGTTTCAAATGGGAGGATGAGACTTTTCTCTTGGAAAAGCATATTCAATTTGCATTGAATGATTGAATGCAAATTTCATTACCTTCTGAAATTAATGACTGTATAAATATGCTGAAGGATAAAATGTCGATAACGCTGATTTTCAAATTATAATTTACAATTGTAAAACTAACTTTCTTCGCTATTTTACCCCACGCACAGCCAATGATGGTCACTTTTTCTAACATACTTATTAACATATTTATTATAACCACGTCATTAAATTTCCTTTTGACATTTAATTGTACTTTGTGTATTTTTGCTATCAAAATATCATCAACCACTGACGAGGAAGATGAAACAGAGAACTTCAAAATATGTTTTATTATCTAAGAAAGCAGGAAGAGGTTGATAGGTGGTTATTAGCAGCACCTTTACCAACTTTATTTTGCCCTGAATTTTAATTCACCAAATAAATTATTTACGCTCTTTTACACCATGCGCTAATGCTATTATCTGGCATTCAAGCTATTTTACCCATGCTTAGCCAGACAACCAAACCGGCTTTGGTGATTTCAGCCCTGCCTTCCTCTGTGGTTAAAAATTAGTTAGATTTCGTTGTTATTTTTATTTTTCCTCCTTTAAATACTGATTTGCGAACCCTAATGTTCATTATTTTTTCTTAATTTCTATGCATGAATATATAAATATATATATGATATATAATATATTATTTATATATATATAATATATTATTTATGTATATAT